GTATTTTATGTGCAAATTTAATATGAATCCTCTCCTTGTTAAACTCTTACGTGATCTATGTACTCCAGTATATAAAACACACTATAGGACAACTATGAACAAGTTTATTAAAACAACTCGGGCTCCTGTTGACATCACCAACCACACAAGTGCTTGCTCAGATCTTATCAGTCTCTCCTTATATTTCAGGTTACCTACTTGCTCGTTTTCTCTATATATCTTTCATTGTTACAAGAATTCAACTCCTGGGCAGATCTCACAGATAAATCTACTTGTCTGTTTGGGGAATATGGCTCTAGTTCTAATTTTGCAGACTTCGTTCAGGCAATACTCCCTCTGACTGCAGGGATTTTTGCCTGAGTAATCCTTTCAGAATTGGACTCTCCGTGATTTTCATTTACTTAACAACTTGGCATTACATCTGTAAAATATTAGTGCAGTAATGTAAAATATCAAATTAGATTTATGCATTAATCTAATCTATATATGAAGCTTGATAGTCAGTTCTGTTACACTGCATTATTGCAATTCCAGGCATTCTGTGTCATTGCACATTTATTCTGATGATGCAAGAGAACCAAGGACTGAGACTGATAGATCAAATTTGGTAGCCCATGCATGTAAAAGTCTGAAACATTGAACAAAATTTAAAATCAATTTCCACTTTCAGATACAGCATGTAAATGTTTTCCTATCAATCACAAATAAAGATGAGCACACATAAAAAGCTAATCTGAAATAATCAACAGAATAACAAGCTATTAAACAGGAAAAATCAGGTCAAAATACATAGCCAAACTGCAAAGTATTCTCTAAAAATCCTTGAAAAGGACAAATAAGCAATTGTTTCTTTTTTGTGTGACAGTTGCAGTCTGAAAAGTAAAAAATTACTCCTTCATACATGTTCCTAAACTGCATTTATAAACACTTCACACAACTAAATTATATTTGTTTCCTCCAGGTTGGCTGCCCTTGAACATTTTTCTCCTTCTTGCAGTTTTTGCTTTTTTATATAATCCCTTCATGAAAGCAGGTCTTATGCCCATGGCCCTGCTTCAGCAGTCAGCCCCACACAGCAGCCACTTAAGAACACATTAAACTAAAGTTTTGTGTGTGCTTTGGTACCTTTAAAAACTGGATTCTTGGAGACAACCCACCATGTTATTCTTACATCTTAAAGCCATTTACTTCTCCTTATGAATGCTTCCAATTTGTTTTACTCTTGTTGGGTCGAATCCAGCTTGTTATTTACAGAAAGAACACAACAAGATTAATAGGATGTGGTCTGTACTAGCCTACACCCCTGGAAATTCATAGTGATCCCATCAATTCTGTATCATTTCTTTGGATTCATAGCAGGTTAAAGCCCCAATCCAGGATAATGCCAAGCAGATGCAGACAAGGGCCAGCACATAAATGTGGAGAATCATGGCCAGAATAAAACTGATCTCTTTATTCCAAAGAAGAAGGTAATGTTTAGATACAAAATAATACATGGATTTTTTTTCCCCCCCAGTTTGGTAATCTGTCACCATCTGGACACCAAATAGGAAATGATGCAACACCAGGGGGAAAAAACCCAATTTATTTCACACATGTTACTAAAGAAAGACTGGATTGATGTGCCACCCCAAGCACTTTGGCTCACTCGTGTGTCACAACAGGTATGCTCCTTTCAAACAGGAGGTTCTCCACACTGAAATGTTTCCTTGGGACACAGCATCAGTTTTTTCCAGTGTATGGCAGCTGCAGTGAACTCAGGGCTTCCTCTAAGGGTGTCTATTTTCTCTCTTTCTGCATTAATTCAGAATTACTGTTTCTCCTTCCCTAGCACTCGCATGCAACCACCCCAAACACAGTTGTGTTTGCAGAAAATCACAGTTGTGCTAAGTCAGTCACAGTGTTTGTATTTCTAAGAAAAGATATGCTTCCCCAAACGAAACCTCACCCTCATTATTGGAGGACAAACCACCTCAGACACCCAAAAGACCACAGATCACAATACAGGTGCCCACGGGGGACCCACCGAGGGATGTGACTGCCACGGGGGGACAAAGGGACCAGAAAGCCCAGCTGGAGGAAGGGAGCAGAGGGATGTTCCCTTCTTCCGTCCCACGTGAAGTGTTTGTGTTTGGAAAGTGAAAGAAAAACCTTTCTTCTCTTTCCTTTGCCAAGGCAGCTCAGCTCTGCACTCACCCACTTCTGTGGAAGGGAAGAAAAGAGGAACTGGAGGTGAGGGAGCAGCTCTGAGCTGCTTTATTTGTACTTTTCCTCCTTCTCCTCCTTGCTGCTTCCCTGCCCTGCAAGCCTCGAGGTGCAGTGCCTGGCAGCCACCACGAGATTTTGATCTCCCAGTGACCACGGGTGCTGGACAGAATGGAGAAACTGAGGGAGGGTCCAGGGAGTCCTTTCATGTCACCAAGAGCCCCGTGCCAGCAGCCACTGTCCCCTGCCACAGCCACTACACCAGCTCTCCTGCCACTGGGAGAGTGGCACAAACAAGCAGAATAAGCCCAGGTGAGGTTCAGAACACAAAAAGGCATTTAAACTAATAATGCAGGCTTCGGATCCTTATTCTAAAGCAATATGTGGAATATTGGAGCTGAAGATTCAGCAGAAACTGGGAGAAATCCCTGGCTGGGACAGAGCTAGTGGAGGCAAAAGCACAGCTAAAATGGACCTGAGCGGGGAGGGAGAGGGGAAGAGCAAGAACCTGAAGTGAGGAAGTGGCTGCATGAAGTGAGTGAGGGTTCATGATAGGAATAGCAAGACTTAAATACCACAAAATAAAAGGATGTGCAAAACCCAAACCCCAAACCTCTAAGAGAACCCAGTAAAAGGTAAAAAACATGCAAGGCTTCAGGTGAGAAAAAAAGGTGGGAGTTTTTCCTGGGAACATAACCTACTAACTTGTCTACTGATCCCTTTAGAGGGCAGAAAAGTTAAATTCCCAAATCAAGACCAGCCTAAGTCAGAGAGAAGAGTGCTGCATGGAGCATGAGGCCAGAGAAGGACTCAATGTGCCTCCCATCCAACAAAATCCTGGCTCTGGTACCATCCTGTGCATGGGATACAGGATGAGAAGGCAAGGACAGTGCTGACAAATTAAAACTGGGGTGAACCATACACTGAGAGTAATTCAGTAACAAATTCACTCACTCCAGCTCCAGGGAATGCATAACCCAATAGATCCTTTCCTCCTCTAACTCTTTCTGCTGTTCCAGATGTTGGCCAAACACAACCATGCACCTGGATGGAACATTGAGTGAGAAATGCAGCTGTTTGAGAGAAATGTTGTGGGAGTTCTTTTGGGGTCTTCAGTAACTCCTGCTGCACATGGCAGAGACACCAGTGCAGTGCCATCCCATGTTTGTGTTGGTGTGGGCTAATCCACAAATCCAAAAAAGGAAGATCTGTTGTGGGTTATGCTGGATCCTCATAAACGGCTTCAGAGTTAACCAGCAAGTAACCACACCACGCAAATTTACTTTGCTTTTATTGTGGCTGCTTTCCCTGCCCTCTCTGAGAACAGCTTTCTTCTCTTCCACCTGCCAGAGTGTATCTGTGGCTGTGCAGTGCCCACAGGATATCAGAAATCATAGGATTATGTGCTTGGATCATGGGTGCTGCCATCTACATGATTTCTGCTGAAATTTTCCCAATTTACCAAAGAATGTGGGAATTGCCACGTTGGTTGAGAAAACAAGGGTCCATCCAGCTGAGTGACCACAGCTGGACACCCAGGTAATTGTGTGCAGGCACAGGGGGTTCTTATCCCTGCTATTTTCCCCTGTTTCCAACCATTTTCTGCTCAGGGGCTTTCCTGAGCTTCTCCATGTCACAGTGTCCACATCACTGCCCAAAGCCTCAGGAAATTTATGTGCTGCAAAACCTCTGGCTACATCCAGAGATATAAATCAAGCAGAATTAGAGTCATTGACAATAACTGGAAAAAAAAAATCTGTAATTTGGAAGACATATATGAGTTTTGATGTTAATTTGGACTAAATCTCCCAGGAACATAAATTATCTGTTCAGCTGTCTCTGTTCTCTGCCATCTCCGTGGAGTCTCACTGTGCAATGGCACAGAGCAGTAAAGGACATCTCAAATCCAGTTTAAGGTGAACAGAAGGCACTTCCCACAGTGGAGAGGGCTGGAATTTTGGAATGAGGAGCTCCTTTCCAGCAGGCACAGGCAGTCAGGGACAAGAATCAGCTGAAGAAAATGCAAAGATGAGAGCCATGAAGTGAGGAGGGAAGGGGCTGGATGAGGAGCAGACAGGTACAGAGAAGGCTCTGGAGGAACTCTTTTAGGGGAACTGATAGAAATTCGGGAGTCAGTTTACATGAAAATGAGAAGAAAAAAAACCCACAAGAATCCTTGGAAAACACACCCAAAAGTTACAGGTGCTGGGAGAACCAGCACCTCATCTTTCAGTGTTCTGGCCAAGAAAATCAGCCAGGTTCATTAAGGCAAAGAGAAGCCTAAGTCCAGTGATCAGTACTGGACTGATTGTTCAAAATATCTTCATGAATGCAAACTGATGCCCAGGGGAGCAGCTGTGCTAAGGAACTGCTCCCAACCAGTTTGGGACCTTTGGAATAAAGATTCATTTTCTTCATTCCAGATGATTCATTCCACACTTCTATTCCAGATGATGACATGAAGAATAACAATTTTCTGTGGTGGCCCAAAGTACAAATATGTTCATTAAAGAGATGTATCAGTGAGATCTTATGACATTAATAGGCAACAAATTTTAATGTGATTTTCATCCAATTCCTGAAAATAAATTTGTACAATATACTTACAAGTATTTTGGATGTATCAAGCATTACTAGTTGCTGTCATCATTTGAGATTCAAACTTCAAATCCACTCTGCTTCCTTTTTCAGTACTCTCTTAGTGCCCGTTGAAAGAAGTTAGCATTTACACAGATCAAATCTAACTTTTGAAAAACCTTCCTCAAACAAACAGATGAGAACGATTCCTCAAAACATAATAACCTAAGAAAACTTTATTCTAACCATCTTCTAGGGTGCATCCAGTTTTCCAAGCTCCCTCTGCCATCGTACACAGGTACATTTCAGCAGGCACACAAAGCACATTATCGCTTGCTCCAAGGAGCTCTGTAGCCTGCAGGATCTTTGCAGAATCCAGCCTGAAGAAATGCAGCACTTTGAGAAAACAGAGCTGTCAAGCAAGATTTCCTTGGGCTTGCTGCCACACAAAATGGCAAACGAGGGACTTGATCCTGCATGGAAGACAATAGGAATTATAGGTGCTCAGCGTTTGTCTTCCGGCAGAGTTAAGGTTTCTCAGTAATTCCCCAAATCAGCCGAACTGCTTTTTACTTATTCAAAATTACATAGCTAAAAGCTTTGGTATGTAGCCACAGAGCTTTTATTTCAAATTGGCAATAATGTAACTTCTGCAAAAAAAAAAAGACTACAATAATGTTAAAAATATCATAAAATGTTATTTATATCAGGATTCATTTGTTACCCCATATGACAATCATTCATATTTCTTGACAGATATAAACCTCCTCTTAACACATTAGTATCGTAAATATTACCAGATATAACACTGTAATTTAATACCCACCAAATGTATTTTAAAATATTACTCAATTTAAAACTTTGGATTTTAACCAGATGTGTTTCCAGAAAATGATTCAGGTCAGATGCTTTTTTTCTTTTCCCTTTTCTGTGCGCGCGCGTTCAAAGCGGAGCGTTCCTATGTGATTTATTGTGCCATGACTGTGTGCCCCGAACCTAAAACAGCACCACGATACTTCATCCTTGAGGCTTACACACCTGCAGTCCAAACTAACAAGAGAAAACATCTACATGGCACGGCAGGAGCCTTTGAAATGTCTTTTTGCAGTTGCCTGGACACAGAACAGACTGGTAGAACAGGGAGGCAGTGGAGAAAGGGTGAAGACAGGAACTCCAGCCTCTTTCATCTAGAAAGGGGGGACCATGGAGAGATTAGAGGAAAGGATTTTGATTAGATCACTGGAATGTGAAATGATGCTTCCCAGGATTAAAATCCTATTTTAGAGCGACCAAACCGGTTACGGCGTTAGTCAGAATTCGGAGGCTCGCGCGGCTCCATCCCTGCTCCGTCCCCGGCTGTCGCTCCGAGCACCCCACACCCTCTCCCCGGAGCAGGGGGGACCCCAGCCAGGCTCCCCAGTCCTCTCCAGCATCACCCCAGCAAGAAGCTGCCCTCCCTCAAAGCATGGCACTTCTGCGGGGAGAAAGAGTTTCCTTCTCCAAGGGCATCCCTGGGTCCAGCCCCATGGCTGGAGGCTCTGGGATTTCGGTCTCATTGGGCCCCCAGTTTAGATCACCACGTAGAGGTCTGACATTTTCATAACCAAATGCCATTAGTTTTATTCCCAGCACAGCCAACCAACAATCTGAAGGTCTGCAGTCGTCGGGCTGATCATTACGTGGAACCCATTAACATAAAACCCGCCATCGCAATTAGTATCTTTGTAAGCAGCAGCCTCAGCAAAAAGTGGAAATGGAGGCTGAAATGATGGTGCTCTTGCAAAGGAGGCCGGCAGCAGATTGGGAAATAATCTGTGGCAATTGCTCTGCTGCTGTCTCTGCCGTAACTTCTCCAAAGACAGGCAGAGCCATTTCCAAGCAGTCAGCCCACGGACTTGAGCGAGCACTAAATTCACTCGATGATCAAATACAATTTGAGAAAAAATCTACAATCGCTCACTTGGGGGGGAAGAGATATTTTCCTTTTACAGATGAAGTGCAAAACAGCAAAAGTAGCTGTACTTGGAAAAATACCGTGCAGCTTATTGATTCCAGGGGGGACAGGTACAGACCGTGGTTTTGCCCATCTCCCAGTTAAAACAGGGGATGCTTTCCAGGGGGGCAAGGTATCTACAGGCTGGTTTGTTTTCCTAAGAGATGAGCCTGCTAAAATGTTGTGTGCTTTTCAGGAAGGGAACAAGGAAAATGTTCGTATTTATAGCAACATTATTGTTTAGAACAAAATAAGTTATTTCATCCTTTTAATCTCCGTTTCTATGGATATCCTGCGCGGGGCTGGGATCTGATTTTCCAACCTCCGTGCGATCCGTCTCCCCTCGGCAGCGGCCGGCGGCACCGGCCCTGGCAGGGAGCGCCTGTCCGCGATGAAGAAATCCCGTTCCAGGCGCTCCCGGACCGCCCCGCACACCGGGAACCCGCTGCCCTCCATGCACTTTTTCATTGTTGTTTCCCCTAAACTCTCTGCACTTGGCTAATTTTAGCCCCGAGCGGGCTGCCCCCCCCCCCCCCCCCGGGCACCATTTGCCGGGCGATGCGCTGCCATGAACCCGCACCCCTCCCGCACCGCCCCGCATCCCGCCGGCCCGGCATCCCCGCGGCGCTGCCCGCATCCCGCCGGTGCCGTATCCCCCCGCACCGCTGTCCCCGCGTTCCCCCGCCCCGCGCGCCTGTCCCCGCATCCCCCCGCACGGCGCGGCCCCGCGTCCCCCGGCGTGTCCCGCGTCCCCTCCCGGTGCGCGTCCCCGCGGGCGCGGGCCGGGGG